GTCCCTCAGAACCAGCTAATTCTTTTTTTTTTTTTTTTTTTTTTCATCAGTTGATGTAGCATTTTTCAAAACAAGCTAGTCAACATTTTTGAAGATTTTTATTGCAGTTTCTTTCAAAACTAAAAGGTGACAAAATATCCATCTGTCTTTGCTGTATCGTTATTCCCGAGGGGGAATTGTATTTTTCTTTCCATGTAGTGCTTGTGATCCTGAGTTGTGTTTTGACCATTCCTCTGATTACTGCTTTCTTTTCCTTATTAGGTTTAAAGCAATTTATTTAAATGGCATTCTAACAGTTCCCTTCTGCATGTGTGCAACATTTTATTTTTTTTTTAAGGTACTACTCATATAGTGATAAAATATACATTGAATTTCAATTATTTAGTGGTTAGTCCCCTCAAATGGTCACAGTTTGAAAAGTCATGAGAGAAATGCAGCTTTTCTTCAAGGGGCTCATTTGTTGGTAAGTATTTTCTAAGGAGGGGAAAAAGATGCATTAGATTAATGCAGCAAAAAGAAATTTGAGAGAGACTGTTTCCTTTTTCTAGAGGCTGTTGTTACTGCAGGCATTATTCATGTATTAAAGATAGGCCATCTAGAGAGAGATGTATTCAAATTATATTTCTGGGTTTGCAGGTGCCAAAAGGAAGCCCTCCAGGGAGCTTTACACATGATGTTTTTTCAGCTGCGGCAGTGCTGTGCAAGGGACTTCTTTAAGTTTCTGCATATTCTCTTATTTTTTGCAAAAACTGTTTTACTGCACTTTTCACTGGGCCACAAGTACTGAAGTATTCATTTTTATCTCCTTGCTTTCTTGAGTGACAGATTTTACTCTCATGATTTACTCACAGATTTACTCCCATGCCTTTACCCCCGTTTCGCTCCTTTGCTTGCTCTGTCCTCCCTGGTGCAATTCTGTTGCTGTCATTCACGTAGCAGCTGATTTTTGTGTTGCAATTTGCTTCATGAACACGGTTGTGGCTGCTTTTGTTATGGAATGATGAAGCTGGGTGTTTTGGAAAGCTCATGTCATGTCATAGGAGACATCCTGACACTGTCAGTTGAGGATGATTTTCTAGGTCAGTAAGTAGAAATAAATAAGAACACTTTCAAGAATACACAGTATATTATTTCCATTCAGAAACAGAGTATATTTCTTCTGCTTATTTTTTTTTCCAGGTCCTGTAACTAATTGGAGTCATCATGTATAACTTGAGTAATTTGGGGTAGTAAAAAGAGAAAATATTTTTTTCTCATGAAAGAAATCATACCCAGCTTCTTATCTGAGTTCTTCCTACTAAGAGGAATAAACAAAAATCCCACTGCTGAAGTTTAGTTTCTGTTAAATGTTTCCCTGCAGTTTACTGCCTCTCTCTGTAGCTACTACCCAGGATAAGCTGAACTGAGATGGAAAAGGCAGCTACGCTGGCGGCTGTTAGCTGCTTTTGCCTTGGATCCGACACTTGCTGGCCTCAGGAGCCAGCCCTTGCAGATCTGGGGTTTATAGTCAATGCAAATGCATCATAAATATATTAGGAAGTGTAGTAGCTGATTCCCCATGGCTGTTTGAAACGCAAATATCTCCATCTTGTTTCCTTTGTGGTCTGACAAAAAATGGTATTTTGGCAAATTTGATATGATGGCTCATGGGAAAGTGGGAGATGTTGAAAGTGCTCTTTTTAGTAAAGTTTTTCTGTATCAAAGGGTTCTGCGTTTGCATTCTATACATCATATACATCTATATTCATCCTATACTGCTTCACAGTTGTTTTGCATTCATATCTTACCTGTTTGCATCTTGAGCACATTCTTTCTCTATGATCAAAACAACAGCTACAAGTGGTAAAAATAGAGCAGCTCCCTTTTTTTAGCCAAAGAATGATGACCCTCTTGCTGTGATTCAAGAGTTTGCAAGGCTGTACTCACCCAAGTCCTTATCCATATTGGTGTCTTACTTGATTCATGGCTATTGTTAATTAAGAAGTATTGGCTGTGTTAACATTTGTGGTGTTACAAATGCTCACAGATTAATTCTGATACTTTTGTGGTATTTACAAGACTGTATTTCTTAAGAATTTTTTTTATTGATAGATACTACTGTTTCAGTAAGCAGCAATACTTATGGTCCAGCACTACTTAAATTGCATTTTAATTTGCTTGTGAGCACATACCGATAAGGAACAAATGATATCGTTCTTCCTTAAATAAATTAACACACGCTTTGAAATTTCATCTGTCAAAAATGGCCTGTTTGCTAGGGGACTTCAGTTTGCTGTATGCTTCTAACTATTGCTTCTGTGCATCTTTTTATTTCTCAGTTGTTCCTGTCATTTTGAAAGCACTAACATACGATGAGAAGAGAGGGGCCTGCAGCGTGGGCTCCAACGTGAGAGACGCAGCGTGCTACGTGTGCTGGGCCTTCGCTCGCGCCTATGAGCCCTCCGAACTGATCCCATTTATTAATCAGATTTCAAGGCAAGTTGCTGAGTTACTTGCAGTTAATTTTTTAAAATCTATTCAAACGGAGATAGACGCTAATAATTAGTATTCAAAGGCTGTATCTTTAAAATATTGAAAATCAGATATTGGCCAGCAGTGACGCATCCATTTAGGGGTACACTTAAAAAGTAGCTTGTGTGTCCCATATAATTTAGGGCTGGACATTGTCTCTGGTAAAGCAGTTTCATGTTGCGTCCCATATAATTTAGGGCTGGACATTGGTAAAGCAGTTTCATGTTGTTTTAATCTTGTTTTATCCACAAGAAACTAGAGACTAAAGGAGAGATGTCTTGATGGTCTCATCTTCTGACAAACCTTGATGTTACAAGTGCTCCTCGGTGGCTTCCAGAAGGAGCCTGTGGAATTGCAGAAAGGACCTGCTTAAGTTAAGAGCGCCATGAATGGTGATATTTTCCGTAGTAAGCTTTTCAGAAATGGTAGCATCAAGGACAGTGGCACCTGTGACCAGCATGTTCCCAAACGTTCCTAACAGCCTCCTGCCAACTGGGCTGAGTTATGTACTGTTATCTTTAAACTGGCAGGAACGGATTTGTGCTTATGCTTCCAGCCTATCTTCAGGATGAGTTTAGCCATCCAAATGCTAAAGTATGATTCAAAACTGTTGTTTGTTATAGATTCAGTCATGAACTTCAGGAAGATAAATCTGCTGCTTCCATCCTCTCACTTAATCAAACAGCTCTGAGGTTTCTTGTAATGTCCAACAAGCTTGTTTGTCAAGTGAAACATGAAAAAGTGAAGCTGGAGTTTGGAAGGCATCTTTTTATCAGATATTTTTCTTCTGTTTGTGATGCTTTGTGCAATATGTTGCTTTTGCACTGTTTTTTTTTCCTTTCTGTGCTGCGATATGATGTCCTCTGTATGCTACGTGCAAGCTCACCGTTTTAGTTCTGTTTGATTTGTGGTGTTTTGTTGGATGCCATGAAACTGCTGGGAGAGGTTGTGTACAGTTCAGAAGGAGACTGTGTTGCTGAAGGAGCTCCTGGCTTTCAGCGTTCAGTTGTTTGGAAAGGAATTCTGCTTCTCTTTTTAGGAAAGTATCAGATGCAAATAGTGTATATCTTCTACCTATGGTCATAACACCAACTCCCACTGAGGTGCTGCCAGCCTCGCTTGTCGGGAATAAGTGGGTGGAGAGGGGAGAAACACAAGGTAGGGAGGAAGCTGACAATTTCTTATACTCAATTGTAAGTTGTTCAGCTTTGCAAATACTTAATTTTCTAGCAAATCTGCACAGTATTTTAGCTTATAATAATGCCGCAGTAAGGCTCTGCTTAAAAATTCTTAACGTTGGCTGTAACTTTTCTAAATACAATCCACTCTTGAAGGTAGAATTGCCACTCTAGAGTGAAACGGGTAAAAGAAAACCTATTCAAATACAGTATGACACACAGTTTCACCTATTGTGTCAGCAAGGCGATAATTACATACGGTTTTTTTTTTTATTATTTTTTTAAATCTAGCCTTAGGTGTGTCACTGTTTTACTTAAAGAAGAGTCATACTTCTGGCCACAAGCAAATTGTTGCTGCCTTAAAAAAAATGCCGAACTCAGCACCTTGCAGCAAAACACATGCTGTTGGCTGTAAGCTGCACTGCCCAGCAGAAACCTCTGCATGCGGGAGCTACCGAATCCCTACAGGAGAAATGCTGCACCGTTCACCAGAGAGGAAGGCTACTACCTCTTTAAATAAATGTATTTTTGGCCCTGCTCTTTGGTCCTGGATCTGGTTTGTCCTCCACAGCCCTTCGCAGCGCTGTTGAACTGGCTGGAGGAGCTCAGATAATGCTGAACTTGAGCGTAAGCAGCCGCTTGCTTAATAGGAGCCCTGGGGCTCGATGGGCAAGGGGGGCATGGCGGCCGAGCGAGCGGCGCGGAGAGCCCGAGTGGTGCACGGTGAAACAACCATCGGCTTCACGTCACAGCCCTCGGCAGGTGGTCGTGTGCCCGCCCGGAGCCTCACGGGAGCGCCAAGATCTCCAACAAGCGTGGGGCAAACTGCGTCTTGCGCCACAACTGCTGCAGGCTGTGGTGCAGCAGTTGCAATTTGAGACAGTGGGCTTCTGATTTTTTTGTTTGTTTTGTTTCTTTTTTTTCTTTTTTTTTTTTCACCTGCTTATCTTCACGTATCTTACAAGTCCATATAGCTTTGCAGGGAAGGTAATTGGGTGAGCAGGCGCTGTTCTACCACTTGCCAAAAAAGGGAAGTAGTTTTTTTTAAGTAAGCCCTTCCTAGGCTGACATGTTCAGTGCTGAAATGTAGGCAGGTAGCATAAATATTTCACTTTTTGCTTGTTAAAAATCACCGTAAAGTGCATAAAAATCATATGTTGTTAATAAAGCTTGGAGCAGTGCTTTGAAAGAAATACTTCCCACTTTGCTCCTCGCTTTCTCAGGACTATTTGGTGGCAAAGTAGTAAAACTGTCAGAATAGCGATGTGACAACCCGAGGCAACAGCAGGTCACACAGCTACCTTCCTCCTTCCTTCACGGACCTTAACCCCTTGCCTTAAAAAAAGGGATGTGTGTATGTATATGTAGATAGATAAAATATCTACATCTATCTGTACATATGTAGAGAAAGAGGGAGAAAACATGCATTAGAAATATTTACCTCGCAACTTTTAGTTTTTCTTACTGTTCTGCCAATCTTTCCCTGTCCATATGGCAACAAGATGCAGACGGTTGCCTTTTTTTTTTTTTTTTTTTTTTTTTTTAAAAAAAAAAAAGAAGTCCAGTTAAACTGGTTTCCAAAACCTTTGCTATCCTATTCAAAGTGCAGGACCCCAAGAAGAAAAAAATTTGGCCAATCCAGGGAGACATCAGCTTTCTTGCAGGATGGCTCTCCTCTGGCTGGCACAGGCCCTGAAGCTGCCGTTCCCATTTCCCCAGTGCTGCTGGATGGAGACTTGTCCTCTCCTGCTCTGCTCTCCCCTTCAGGAGAGGACAAGTGCTGTGCTCTGTTTAGGGGGAGCCCAAAACCTAATTTAAGACCTTGAGACTGCAGGAGATTTGATTTCTGCTCCCTGGGATAGAGGAGGTATCGTCTGTAGAGTGGCAGGTACGCAGCAGGATCTGTCGCAGGCCTAGGCAGTGAATAAAAAGGAAAACCAGCTGCTGCCCTGTCAGGCAATTAGTGTGATTAAATTGTAGCGTGCTATCTTAATTATGAGAAACTATTGCAGAGTCTGAAGGGAGTTTCATTTTAGCTTGTGCAGGACATCAGTAAAGGAGCCGGCCGGGAGGCGCGAGGCAGCCGCAGCGGCCCCGGCTCCGCGTCCCCTGGGGGCTGGGGCTGCCTCCTCCGCGGGAGGCCGAGCGGGGAGGTGCGGCCCGCGGAAGCGGCGCCGCGGGGCACGGGTGTCCGCGCGCGGGGCTCTGCAGCGGCGCTCTGAGCTACGTCTTGTGCCGTGAGGAAATCCCCGGAGGAGCTTCTTGGTTTCGTTTTTTTGCGTTTTTCTTTCATGTGTTTGAACGTTGCCTCCAGAAGGCAGCTGTGTGCCGCCCGCGTCTTGTGCTCTGTATAATTATTTCCTACAGGGGCATCATATATATATATATATGTATATATATATATTTATTTATTTATTTGTGTGTTTTTGTTGTTTTTTGTTGTTGTTGGGGTTTCTTTTGTTGCAACTCCCCTTCCAAGTGTTTTCAATATTGCACTTTTCTACACGAGTGTGTATATGAAACATCGGTGTATTTCAGGAGTTGAAATGTTTGTACGATGGTACCCTACCAGCTTTTAAGCTCAACAAAACTTGTACCCATCCAAGTTTATCTTTTACCGTTTCACTCCAAACCTGGCATTGAAGAAACACTTTCAAAGTGCTCAATTTCTGTATAACTCCCAGGTAAAATGAGGAGGTGTCCCCCACGCAGCCCCTCTCCTGGCCCTCAGTGCTTCTGCATGCCCGGGAGCGTTGCCCAAACCTTCGGCCTCAGTGCCGGGCCGGCCTCCCCTTCCCTGACGCCAGAACTCAGGCGCTGCCCTTTTTTGGGCTCAGGAAGCAGGTCCTGGTCTTGTGCCAAGTTGGCAGCGGCTCTGGGAGTTTCTTTCCTGCTTCCCACAGCTCCGGGGTGGTATGCTTGGCTTCATGGGAGCAGCTTCTCGCAGGCTGGCAATGGGCGAAGCCGCCCGCGTCCGGCGCCGGCTCGGCCGAGGGGTCGGCTCTGCGGCAGCAGCGAGGCCTGGTTCCTCCCGCAGCCCTCGGGAGGCCGGGCGTCCCAGCGGCTCTGCACCCTCGGGCGTTGGGAAAGCTACAGCCCGCGCTCGGGACCCGCTCAGGAGGGCCAGGCAGAAAGCAGGAGCTGCCCCCGTCCGCCAGGGCTGCAGCCTGGATGCCGAGACC